TAACATGTATACGTATGTATATATAAATATATATAACAAATATATATACAAAATATATATGAAACAAATATAATATATAAAATCATTTATATATATATATATAAAATGTGAAATGATATTATAAAAGATTGTTGATAAAATATTGGCGTCCGCAAAGAGAGAAAAACAGATTTATGCTTATCCATAAATTCTATGTGAACTATTTTCAATTAAACTTCACTGTGTTGCCCAATTACATTAAAAAATCACCGAAATATGAAATAACTAACTAAGTTGCTGTAGATAGATAGATCGATTCTAAAGTTTTAAGAGAGTATAACTGTAAATTAATAGCATTAATTTAATTTATGGATTAGAGTGTTTTAATGGCCTTTGTGCTATTAACGCTAACGGCAGCATAATATATATATTTCATTACATATTGATTAATATATTATATAATATAATCATTATTATACAACACAATCATTATTATATAATAATATGTCATCGTCATGTATTTTCTGGTCATCATATCAGATTGGCTATCATTAATTCATCGAATTAAAAAATCTTTAATTATAGCTGGCTGAATATTATCTGGCTGATTGCCAATAGGGCGAACGATGTTACTAAATTTGTCGCATAATACAGAGTCGAGCGCGTGAAAGAAAAAAAAAAGAGAGGCATTTGTCATTTGTATTGGCCATTAGTCGTTCATCGCTCGCGGACGCTTATTGTAGGACACTGACACAGTTCCACATTGCTGCTGCTACAAATATGTACGTTACCTATTAGATTTAATATTATTTATTCGTCCTTCATATTCACGATTATTTATCATTTTATTTATTCGCAGACAGACGCGTCGAATTGTGAAGCTATTGTCTAAGGATCGGTAATCTTTATTTTATATTCTCTCGTTGTTAAAGTTGTGAAAATAGCTGTGTAGTTTTTATCCAATGTAACACCAAGTGATTGAGATTGGACGGCAAACTATTGACTTTCATGCATATGTCTCTGGGAAGTTATCGCACGAGCAATCACTATACTTCATTTAAAGGTCTCAAATCTTCGATCCGTCATTTGTCTCCAAGCTCGTTCACAGTACGTTCCTGTACATTCGCAGTCACACAATAAACCTAGAGCCGCTCGAACGTTAGATAAATTACAAGAAACAATTGCCGTACGCGTATCTTCTCGTTTCTTTGTTGGCGCGGAGTGTGAAGCACACTAATTTTGTGATATATATCGCCTGTTGGTACAAATAACACAAGTTATGACGTACATGTTTGTAGAGACGCAATATCCGAATGAGGAAAAAGTAGGCGGAGAACGGATAGGAGATGGTCCTTCTCTGGCGAACAACTTGTAGGTAGCATCCACATTAAACTAGCATAGGATTACAGGTTCTCTTTGATATTAAATACATTCCGTAGTAGAACAGATTGCATATATAAGACTAGCTGTGATGGAAAAAGCTGAAAAGAGAATATATTATACCAACTTCTAATATATGAAAGATAACAAGAGACTAGCTACATTTAATAGAATGTAAAATTGTAAGATTTATTTGCGTATGTAAAGTGATTGCGAAAAGTTCGACCGATGTAAG